ATTACAGTTTGGTTTTATGCATCAGGGAGGCAGGAGTTACAGGCAAAGATGTAAGTCAATACATGGAAGGTATACATTGGTTCAGTCCAAGAAGCCAGGATATGCTGAAGCCGGGATTTGCAGATTATAGGTGGATTCAGAGATTGTTTAATTTGTAACTGGTTAAAGTTGTAAGGCTCTGTCTAAAACTTGGAGTCAGAAGACAGAAATGTTTAAGTTAAAATAAAGATGCTATGTCAGAGTTAGCCACAATATATTGCCTCAAAATGACTTGTTCAGCAAGACTGATGGCCTGCAGGCATGACTTAACCTTTGCCTTGCATGGCCTTCTGTCTTGTTTATAATATGGTATCTTATTGCCACAGAGTCTTATGATCCCTATTTTAACATTAATGTTGGTCAGTGGTTGTGTCTAAACTCTGAAAGGAAGGAGGTAGAAGGATGAATGTTCAACTTCCCTTCCTATGATGGCTGGAAACATAATTTTTCAGGTTTCTCTGGGGTCCCCTTGGCCAAGAGGAGGTCTGTTCACTTGGTGGGAAGCTTAGGATTTTATTTTTAGTTTACAGTCAGGACCCATGGAAAACTAGGAGGTTTATAGAAAGACTTCTGAGGGGTAAATTAACCCATAGATATTATAGGCTACATTTGGTGTGTGTTTGTATTTTGGGGAGAAAGTGTCTGAGGCTTTTATCAGATTCTGAAAGCATCTAGTGATATAAAAAAGTTTGATTCCTATTTAGTGGATGTGGAAAATAAAAATTTTAAATTAAAACACTTTTTTTTTTTGAGACGGAGTCTTACTCTGTCACCCAGGCTGGAGTGCAGTGGTACGATCTCAGCCCACTGCAACCTCCGCCTCCTGAGTTCAAGTGATTCTCCTGTCTCAGTCTCCTGAGTAGCTGGGATTACAGGTGCACACCACCATGCCTGGCTAATTTTTGTATTTTTAGTAAAGACGGGATTTCACCATGTTGGCCAGGCCGGTCTTGAACTCCTGACTTCAGGTGATCCACTTGCCTTGGCCTACCGAAGTGCTGGGATTACAGGCATGAGCCACTGCGCCCGACCAAAACACATTTTTTTTTTTTTTAAAAAAGCAAGATTCCTGGCTTTTCTCTGTAATGTAGAATACACATATCCTGTAAAGCTTTCATGGAAAGAATTTTATTGCTGGGCGTGGTGGCTCATACCTGTAATCCGAGCACTTTGGGAGGCCAAGGCAGATGGATCACCTGAGGCCAGGAGTTCAAGACCGGCCTGGCCAAGATGGTGAAATCTCTACTAAAAATACAAAAATTAGCCGGGTATGGTGGTGTGTGCCTGGAATCTCAGTTACTTGGGAGGCTGATACACGAGAAATTGCTTGAAACCAAGTGGTAGAGGTTGCAGTGAGCAGAGATCCCGCCACTATATTCCAGCCCGGTGACAGAGTGAGACTCTGTCCCCCTACAAAAAAGAATTTTATTTTAGGACATACTACTTATTTAATATTTTTATTAAATAACTTTTTATTACAACAGTATTACATTTACACTGTAGATATTTAGAAAAATCAGGTAAGTAGAGAGCCATCCTCAGTTACTAAGTATATACTATAACCATGTTGATGAATAACCTTCCAGACTTTTTCTATGTACGTTGATAGGTTTGACTATATAAACTTGGGGAAAGTAGTTGCATGTAGGTAACAACCATTAATATTTCTATTCACAAAGAGCTCTTAGAAATCACCGAAGTGGGCTGGGCGCGGTGGCTCAAGCCTGTAATCCCAGCACTTTGGGAGGCCGAGGCGGGTGGATCACAAGGTCAAGAGATCGAGACCATCCTGGTCAACATGGTGAAACCCCGCCTCTACTAAAAATACAAAAAATTAGCTGGGCATGGTGGCGCGTGCCTGTAATCCCAGCGACTCAGGAGGCTGGGGCAGGAGAATTGCCTGAACCCGGGAAGCGGAGGTTGCGGTGAGCCGAGATTGCGCCATTGCACTCCAGCCTGGGTAACAAGAGCGAAACTCCGTCCCAAAAAAAAAAAAAAGAAATCACCGAAATGACAGAAACCCCTATGGAAAATGGACAAGGAAATAGGAAGAAATACAAGTAGCCAATAAATATAGTAAAAAGGTATTCACTTTCAAAATTTAAGGAATGCAAATTAAAACAGTAAGATAATATTTTTCATGTATCACATGGCAAAGGTTATTAAGAATAATTTAGCCAGGTGCAGTGGTGTATGCCAGTAGTCCCAGCTACTTAGGCTGAGATGGGAGGATAACTTGGGCCTGGGAGGTTGAGGCTGCAGTGAGCCAAGGTCATGCCACTGCACTTCAGCCTGGGCAACAGAGTGAGACTCTGTCTCAAAAATTAAATAAAAAAAAAATGCCAGTGTTAGTAAGGTTTCATAGAAATAAATAGGTGCAGCCTTTCTGGTGGGTAATTTGTAACTTATGTGTTTAATAGTCCTGTTTCTTTCTGCTTGCCGCCCTTTCAGTTATGCTTTTTCTTTTCTTTTTCTTTTTCTTTTTTTTTTTTGAGGTGGAGTTTCACTCTTGTTACCCAGGCTGGAGTGCAATGGCGCGATCTCGGCTCACTGCAACCTTCGCCTCCTGGGTTCAAGCAATTCTCCTGCATCAGCCTCCCGAGTAGCTGGGACTACAGGTGCGCGCTACCATGCTCAGCTAATTTTTGTATTTTTAGTAGAGACAGGGTTTCACCATGTTGACCAGGATGGTCTCGATCTCTTGACCTCGTGATCCACCCGCTTCGGCCTCCCAAAGTGCTGGGATTACAGGCGTGAGCCACCGCGCCCAGCCCAGTTATGCTTTTTCTTTTTCACCAACCATTCTTTGCAACTTCTATAGGTACATGTAAAACAATCTATAGTTTGTCAAATTAAAGTTTGGTTTACTTGAAGCCATGGAAGCAACTCTGAATTTGCCTTTTAGGAAATTATTTTAGGAAAAGAAATACATTTTTTCTATTATAAAGAACACCTCTAGCCAGGCATGGTATCGTGGCTCATGCCTGTAATCCCACTACTTTGTGGGGCCGAGGTGGGCAAATCACCTGAGGTCAGGAATTTGAGACCAGCCTGGCCAATATGGTGAAACCCCATTTCTATGAAAAATACAAAAAGTAGCTGGGCATGGTGGCATGTGCCTGTAATCCCAGCTACTTGTGAGGCTGAGGCAGGAGAATCACTTGAACTTGGGAGGTGGAGGTTGCAGTGAGCTGAGATTATGCCACTGCACTTCAGCCCAGGCAACAGAGTGAGACTTTGTCTCAAAAAGAAAAAAACAAAACAACAAAAAAGCAAAACGTCTTTACTGGATCAACATTAATTAAAGCAGTCTAGATGAGTAGATTCTCAACAGTGTGTCACTGCCTTGAAAGTGGCATTTCAGCTGTCACTTTGTTTCTTTGAGACAGAGTTTTGCTCTTGTCCCCCAGGCTGGAGTGCAGTGGCAGAATCTCTGCTCACTGCAACCTCTACTTCCTGGGGTTTAAGCGATTCTCCTGCCTCAGCCTCGAGCAGCTGGGAGTACAGCCATGTGCCACCATGAAATACCATGAAAAATAATTTTTGTATTTTCAGTAGAGATGAAGTTTCACCATGTTGGCCAGGCTGGTCTTGATCTCCCAACCTCAGGTGATACACCTGCCTCGGCCTTCCAAAGAGCTAGGATTACACATGTGAGCCACTGTGCCTGACCTCAGTTGTCACTTTGAAGGAAGGGTAGGAATGGCATAGGTGGGAGAGAGGTCAGAAATATAAGACATCTTACCATGCAGGGTACATTCATAAAGGTGAAAACATGTTTGTTATTATCTAAGCCTAAAATCAAACTCCATTTTATATATAAACATAATGTCATTTTAGTTTAGCATTAATATATACAGAACATTCCAGCTTTGCCATGACTGTAGAGTGAGGGAAGAATGTTTTTTCTTGTAAACTTTACCAACTGTTGTTTACATTTCAGAGCATCATGTTACCAGAAGCAACTGTTCTCCCTCTGGAGTCACCAATACCACACACCTGTCTCAATCTGCATTTGTAGAAGTCACAGGTGGTTCTACATAAAGATGTAAAGATACATTCATCTAGCTACTTTATGTGTCTTTTAGTCAACTAGTATAGGTGTACACATATTATAAATTATTTTCCTTTTAGTTTTATGCTAAATTACAATTAGGTCATTGAGTTGAGATATTCACATACTGTGAAACTAATCTTTTAAAGTGTACAATTCAGTGGGTTTTAATATATTCACAAAGTTGTGCAACCATCACCACTATCCACTTCCAGAATGTTTTCATCATGCCCCAAAGAAACTCTCTATCTATGAACAGTCACTTCCCATTCGCCCCTCCTTGAGATTCTGGCAACTATTACATTACTTTCAGTCTCCATCGATTTGTCTATCCTGGACATTTCATATAAATGAGATGTCTAATATTTGGCCTTTTATGTCTGGCTTCTTTTACTTACCCTGCTTTTAAGTCTCATTCATGTTGTAGCAGGTATGAGTACTTTATTCCACTTTTATGGCTGAATAATATATTGATTTTTTGAAATTATATGGGTGGGAAGTTATATTATCTACGCATTTTATTTCAGGATAGTAAAGGAGGTGTTAACAAAATATTTGTAATAGAACATTGGATCAGAGCTACTGGTCTAGCTGGAAAAACAAGACAGGTGTATATAAAAAGGCAATTAACAACCCAAACGAAAACATCATGCAATCAGGAGACAGTTAAATTTTCTAGGACAAAGGACGATAGGTAAGGATTAGGCAGAGATTAAATATGAGTGATCGATCCTATTCAGTTAATGAGTTGGCAAAGCCTGGAATGAGATACAGCCATCCAAAAGTTAAACTGCCAACCTTATAGGATGCTAGCCTATCTCCTGTAATTTCCACTGAGAGATCTTTCTTTCCAGTAGGCTCTGCAAGTGATGAAGCGGATCAGCGGAAGCTAAGTGATCCTACTGGAACCAAACGGATATTTCCGTGGAGGAGTCCTAAGGGGATGGATTTTGCAGAGCAAAGCTGTAAGCTGCCAACTCTAACTTCGGGGAAAACCTTACCTCCACGTTCCCTGTGGTGCTTTTGCACAGGCTATTTAGGCACATCTCGGCCGCCGTGGCGAGGCACGGCTCAGCTGTTGCGGGGGCGGGGCCTTCGCAGAGTATGGCGGCCGGCGAGCTTGAGGGCGGCAAGTCCCTGAACGGGCTGCTGAATGCGCTGGCACAGGAGACTTTCCATGGGCACCCCGGCATCACAGAGGAGCTGCTGCGGAGTCAGCTGTATCCGGAGGTGCCACCCGATGAGTTCCGCCCCTTTTTGGCAAAGATGAGGGGGATTCTTAAGGTACTGCTCTTCCCTGTAGTCTCCGGCTTGGAGTACAGACCCTTTACCACCGGCGTCAGACTTGCTCCACTTGGCTTCCCCCGTCCTCATAAGCTGAAAGGTCTCTCCTTCACAGACCTCCACTCCGTGGGCTCCACATTGCGCTGCTTCAGATTATCTCGCTCTGTCGCCCCTTCTCACTTTCCTAAGGGTGACGTTTTTCTGCTGAAGTTCCCAGCCCCCTGGTGGGACTGACTGACACTCACGGGGGTTTTTCCTTCAAGACATCTCATCTCGTCTTCTCTGTCTCTTGGTAACAGTTGAGTTTCCTCAGCAGATCTGTGGGCTCTGGAATTTTTAAAATTAAGAGTTTTAGGTCGCCAGCTTTCCCGGGTTGTGGAAGTTGGGAGCGTTAAACTGAGCGAGTGTCTGGCGGATAAGGGGGTAGTTTAGCCCGAGTGACATCTGTCAGGCAGTCCACTGCATGGTTAAGAGAGCATATTTACCAGCTTGAAGCCAAAGTATAAACTAGGCCATCCGATAGACATATGTGAGCCAAGAAGGTGAAATTAATTTTAATAATATATCTGATTTAACCTAGAATGTCCAAAGTATTATCACTTCACATGTAATCAGTATATAGAATCTTGACAAGATTTTGTTAATTTTTTTCACTCTTTGAAATCCAATATTTTACACTTAAAGCACATATCTCGGACTAGCCACATTTGAAGTGCTCGATAGTCCCATGTGGCTAATGACCATAGTATTGGACAACTCTATTTAGACCGAGGACTAGTTATAGGAATGAATCTAGTGTCAATGTACTCTAGAGACAGACTGTAAAAAAAAAAAAAATACTTTTATAGGTCTTTTATGTGTTAGGAACCCTGTACTAAGATGTGTTACATGTTGCTTCATTTGTTTCTTGGGAAAAAAAACAAAACAAAAACCTCATATAGTGGACACCCATTGTAAAGATTTAAGAAACAATCTCAGGGAATCTAAATGGACTAAAATTACATTTTGATTAAAGTCAATGTTGAAATTTAATCCACTATCCTTTTGAATTTACTATTTTTTTTTCAAGGCTGTTTATGCTTTAAAAAAGCACTTCTGTATTTTTAAAACTGATTTTTGCCTAAAGGATTTGAATCCAGAAAAAAGGCAAATGAAGACAAGCATTTCACATGGTAAATAGATTGTCTCATGGAAATGTAAGGAGTATTGCAGGTGTAAGATTACTACATTCAAAGTAGTCTTAGCTGATATAAATCATAAACCACTGGTGAATGCTTCCTATTTCTTTTCAATTTTAGTTTTTGAGCAGCCTGAGAGAGTTTCCTAGAAAATTTGACATCTGGGTTTTTAAGGTGTTTGGTCCTCTATAGGGATGAGGCCTATATCTCTTCTTCTGCAGGCTAAGAAGAGACAACAGCACACGTGTAGGTAATGCGTTAGAATCTCCAAACGCTGGGGGCTACTTTTCTCTAGGTGGACCACATTTTGATTGATTGGTTTTGTAATGAGATAAAACAGCAGGGTACTCAGAATAGAGTTTGCCTGAAAACTATTTCTCTTATTTTCCTTTTTCTTGAGACGGAGTTTTGCTCTTCTTGCCCAGGCTGGAGAGCAATGACTTAATCTTGGCTTACTACAGCCCCAACCTCATGGGTTCAAGCGATTCTCGTGCCTCAGCGTCCTGTGTAGCTGGGATTACAGGTGTTCACCACCCTGCCCGGCTAATTTTTGTATTTTTAGTAGAGACGGGGTTTCACCATGTTGGCCATGCTGGTCTTGAACTCCTGACCTCAGGTGATCTGCCCACCTCGGCCTCCCGAAGTGCTGGGATTACAGGCATGAGCCACTGCATCCTGCCTTATTTTATTTTAAATTGCTGAATAATATACAGGCTATGTGAAGTATTCCGAGTGGTTCTGTATTGTGGAGCTGGCATGGCTTTCTTGGTGTTGGGAGTAGGCAACAGAAGATTTGCAGGTACCTGGCAGCACAACGTCTGCTAGCTGATTAGTCTGAGGAACTAAGGGATATGCCTTCGATTGTTTTACTTAGGGCTGAAACCATGGGCTCAGGATGACATCCAGTTCCAATCTTTATTTAACTTAAAGGCAATGCTGAGGGCTAAATGTCTCTAATTCTTATGGAAACAGAAAACAAACATGATTTTTGTTTTTATTTATTTATTTATTTTTGAGATGGAGTTTCACTCTTCTTGCCCAGGCTGGAGTGTAATGGCACAATCTGGGCTCGCTGTAACCTTCACCCGGGTTCAAGCTATTCTCCTGCCTCAGCCTCCCAAGTAGCTGGGATTATAGGCAAGGGCAACCACTCCAGGCTAATTTTGTATTTTTAATAGAGATGGGATATCTCCATGTTGGTTGGGCTTGTCTGGAACTCCTGACCTCAGGTGATCTGCCTGCCTCGGCCTCCCAAAGTTCTGGGATTATAGGCGTGAGCCACTGTGCCCAGCACAGACATGATTTTTAAACTGAAAGGCTTTGCAGATAGAATCTCTGTCAGCAGTAAGAGGGAACATACACAAATAAGCATGATACAAGAATGCAATTGTATTCGTAAATAGAATTGTGAATAAACACCTGAAGATAGATTAAGAGGTATCAGTTCTTTCTGGCAAGCTTCTTGGAGATGCCATTTTTGCTGCTGTAACATATTTTAGACTGAGATGAAGGGTAGCCATATAGAGCATTCTGAGTTAAGAACATAGCATGGGTGGATCAGGAAAAAAGCAGGCTCAGGAAAATAGTCCAGTTTGATCATAATATGGGGGTAACCAATATGGAATATTGGTGGAGGAGGCAAGAGCAAAATGAAACAACTTTTTATTCCTATAATCCTGCTAACTTTTGTTCCTGCGCTCTTTTTTTTTTTTTTTTTTTTTTTGAGACAGAGTTTTGCTCTTGCTTGCCCAGGCTGGAGTGCAATGGTGTGATCTTGGTCTCACCACAACCTCTGCCTCCTAGATTCAAGCGATTCTCCTGCCTCAGCCTCCTGAATAGCTGGGATTATAGGCATGCACCAACACGCCCAGCTAAGTTTTTTGTATTTTTAGTAGAGATGGGGTTTCTCCATGTTGGTCTCGAACTCCCAACTTCAGGTGATCCGCCTCCTCAGCCTCCCAAAGTGCTGACATTATGGGTGTGAGCCACCATGCCCAGCTATTCCTACTTTTAAGCAGGGTGTACATTTTTGCATATAAATGACAACAGAGTTCATACTTTCAATTATCTGTATAATATCATGGTCTGTGAAGAAAGTGAAAATGAAGGGTGACAACAGGGTAGAAGGGAAAGAAGGAAGGAGGGGACCTGTAGCTCCCAACAGAGGATACAGTGGACACACATATTAACAGCCTCCTTATTGCCAGCTGCCTAGCAATATATTTCATAGGCCATGTTTCAGGTTCAGGTGCTCCCTGAGCTATAGCCCCTCCCTCTGACTTTCATGTTGTGTGCCAATGTGTTATGAAGTGATTCCTGGCATTTGTACTGGTCCTGTTTTCTGCTTAGAATGGACCCCTCCTACCCTACTTGACTGGGTCATTGACACTCTCTAGCTTTGGCTGTTAATCACAAAATGGCAAACCTTTCGTCTGCTCATAGATATGTGAAGCTGGCCATTCACTTGCTCTAGTTTTTATTTTTGAGTAGACCCTGAGGAGCAATGAAGTCAATAAATTGGGAATGGTGTGTTTATTTAGGGAGATGACATCCTGTATATGAATATTCTTATTTTGCTAAACACTGCCTTTTTTTTTTTTTTTTTTTTGAGATCAAGTCTTACTCTGTTGCCCAGGCTGGAGTGCAGTGGCACAATCTCAGCTCACTGCAACCTCTGCCTCCTGGGTTTAAGCATTTCTGCTTCAGCCTCGGAGTAGCTGGGATTACAGACACCTGCCACCATGCTCAGCTAATTTTTGTATTTTAAGTAGAGACGGAGTTACACCATGTTGGCCAGGCTGGTCTTGAACTCCTGACCTCAAGCGATCCACCCACTTTGGCCTCCCAAAGTGCTGGGATTACAGGTGTGAGCCACTGTGCCTGGCCCAACACTGCCATTTTAATCTACTTCTTTTGCTCACATTATAATTCAACTTCTTAAAGATATGCGTTTGCATGATCTTTATGGCTATTGCTGTTAACCTTGTGGATATGCTCAGTTCTAGTAAATCCCAGATTACAAGAATTTTTTTTTTTTTTGAGATGGAGTTTCACTCTCGTTACCCAGGCTGGAGTGCAATGGCGCGATCTCGGCTCACCGCAGCCTCCGCCTCCTGGGTTCAGGCAATTCTCCTGCCTCAGCCTCCTGAGTAGCTGGGATTACAGGCACGCACCACCATGCCCAGCTAATTTTTGTATTTTTAGCAGAGACGGGGTTTCACCGTGTTGACCAGGATGGTCTCGATCTCTTGACCTCGTGATGCACCCACCTCGGCCTCCCAAAGTGCTGGGATTACAGGCGTGAGCCACTGCGCCCGGCCCAGATTACAAGAATTAAAGAGCATAATCTAACTATGAAGATCAATCACCTTTTGTACACTTTAGTCTGTATTCACTACTGCCCTCTGGTGATGATTTTGTATTTCTTCATTGGAACTTTAAACTCAATTTTTTTTTTTTTTTTTTTTTTGAGACAGTCTCTGATGCCCAAGCTGGAGTGCAGTGGCACGATTTCAGTTCACTGCAACCTCTGCCTCCTGGGTTAAAGTGATTCTCCTTCCTCAGCCTCCTGAGTAGCTGGGACTACAGGCGTGCACCACCACGCCTGGCTAATTTTTGTATTTTTTAGTAGAAATGGGGTTTTGCCATATTGGACAGGCTGGTCTTGAACTCCTGACCTCATGATCCGCCCACCTCGGCCTCCCAAAGTGCTGGGATTATAAGCATGAGCCACTGTACCCATCCTAAACAAAAAATTTTAATGAAATTTATCATTTTGTGTTGTCTATTGCTAATTTGTATACTCTGGTACTGAGTTACATC